AACGTACCTAGTCACTGCAACGTACCTAGTCATTACAATGTACCTAGCCACTACAACGTACCTAGCCATTACAATGTACCTAGCCACTGCAACGTACCTAGCCATTACAACGTACCTAGCCACTGCAACGTACCTAGCCATTACAATGTACCTAGCCACTACAATGTACCTAGCCACTGCAATGTACCTAGCCACTACAACGTACCTAGTTACTGCAACGTACCTAGTCACTGCAATGTACCTAGCCACTTCAATGTACCTAGCCACTACAACGTACCTAGTCACTGCAACGTACCTAGTCATTACAATGTACCTAGCCACTACAGCATGGAGCTGATGTTACTGTCCAAGCAGTACATGATCTGGCCTCCATTCCAGAACAAACTCTCGGGCAATTAACTCGGAGGATTTTCAAACAAAACAGCCAACTCTCTTTATCCGCCAACCTAAAGGCCCCCACATTCCCTGCTATTCTGATCACAGCAGCTGAAAGGGTTGAGTTAGTGCTCTTCTGTGCATTTGACCCATACATTGCAGGTTTCAATTGCTTTCATTGTTTCTCTGAAATATCAGTGGCCCGGGAGTAAGTTGTAGTTGCAGATTGATGGCCCAGGTTGGGAAGTTACGACTGTCAGCAGCATCCTGAGGATGATTTCAGAGAGTCCAGGCAGCATATCATTGTCGGCACCTTTGTTCTCTGACATGGCAATTGAAACATGTGAAGTTTCTAGGACAAGGGCTCTATAGATCTGAAGCCACTGTCAGCTGTTTTAATATTCACATCACTGGCGTCTCGGAGCACACTAACAGAGCAAGCCTAGGAAGACCAGCGAACCTGGTGGCCTGCATAGCCACGAGTGGAGGGGCAATTGCATGGACGGGATGTCGCACTCACAGAAAGTGAAATGGCCTCAGAGCATGTAATAGCCTGGAAAGGTATGGCTGATGCTTGTGAAGTTGGGGGTGGGGGTGGGGAGCGGGCTAGAGCACATGAGACTTGATCCAATATTTACATTTACTATACATACACCATAAACAGAGAAAAGATCTACATCTGCTTGACAGCAGTGCTTACATCTATTGGAAAGGATTATAGGGGATTTTATTTTCTTCTTTTTACTTATGTTTATCTTCTAAGTGTTCCATCTTGAGCCTGCATCATTTTTTGCATTATTAAGATAGCAAGAATCATCTCAACAGCCACAAAGCCTTGGACACAATTTTACTGAATCAGTGGCATATTATGAAGACTGGAGGCGGATGAAGTGCACATGTCAAATCGAGTTTGAAAGCCATGCGCATGCTCCCTTTGGCAGCACATACACTACAATTGGAATGAGACCGAGATTAGCATGGTCCCTGTACAGGATGGCACACAGAGTCGTGAAGCATTTCATCTTTTCTTTGAGCGAATAATCGTGGGTACAAGAATGAAGAGAACGTTCTAAAATTGTGGAAATGATTGCACAACTCTTTTCAACTTATTTAAACCATTGAATTGTATGGGAATTATATGCCAATAAAACGGCTTTAAAAAAAGCATACTCAATGTGTATTTAACCATAATTAAATATATATATACATATATAGATGCAAACATACACACCCACACACACAAATAGGATTATGTTTACCTCAAGAAGTAACCAAAAAGTTTGGACCAGTTTTCCCTCCACCCTCCACCAACTCGATGACAGTGGGTTGGGTTGGGTTAATTTCCCCCTTTGTTCGGATCTCTTTAAAACACACACACACAATTATACAAATGAGATGACAGTCATTCACAATTCCCAAAGGGAAGCATGCAGCGTTTTATCTGCTCCCTAGGCTACGGCATCCCAAATGACATCCCCAACAAGCTTCTGGGGGAAAAAACCAAATTATGTAGAACTTAGAAGGAAGAGATCATACTAAAGGCTCTGAGGAGCACCCAAGTAAATAAACAGGGAAACTTCATGTGATCCAATGTCTCCACCCATGAGGAGCTCACTGCCTCATGTAACATGCAAACAAACAAAAACAAGTCCACTGCCCTCAAGTCAGTGCTGATCCACAGCTACCCCCAGTGCATTTCTGAGACTCTAACTGTTTATGGGAGGAAAAAGCACAGTGCTTTAAAAAAAAAAGAAAGAAAATGAACACTTTTTTCTTTCAAACACCATGAATGCATTACTCCTGTTAAGCACTTGTTTATATGCTTAGCTCTTTGGTCCGAGGAGAAGAGAAATGAGATCCTGCTTTCGGACGATTGTTTCTGGATCCAGGGGCTCCTCAAGGACCGGAGAGTGTGACACTTCTCTGGCGTCTTCTGGGAGAGGATGGTCCCCAGCCCATTCCTGCTGTTGTGCTTCAAGCCTTGAAAACTTGTCAGTTATCAGAGGGTTATTCTTCACCTCATTCCTGTTACCCAGAAAGACAATTTATGCCCTGGAGTCCGGCAGCAAATGGCCCATAGAAGGACTTTTCAAGCAGACGAAAATCAGCTTACCAACTTTGGCAGGGTAGTTGTGTCAGCTCAGACGGTGACGATGTCTACACTTGTATCTGCCCTTGGAAGTGCCTTCCCATGAAGCATCTCGTTAGGAGATTTCACAGAGCACACCGCATGGCGGCTAATGCACATCCTGACGTGGCTGTCGTAAGTCAAGGTGAAAATGTGATTTGCATTGCTTTCTCACTCCTGAGGGGCGTAAGGTACACAGGCTGCTGCTGGAATGGGGCAAGGCAGATGTACTCACAAAGGACCCGCCACAGCACCAAGTCCAATAATTTATTTTAAAATTCGTTCAGAAAGACATTTGGGGGGGTGGGGGGAGCCAAGGATTTGACAGTTGACAACTGGTGAAAATTTGGAAAATGTTTACCCTAGAAAAGGTTGAGATCTTCTATTTCTTGAGCTTCTCTGTTACTCACGGGTCATTTTGTACGTCTGCAGGCACATACAGGGAGGGGGTCCCAAACCCACCCCCCTCGGGAATCGCGCTGGGCTGGGCAGAGCTTTCGTAGCATGCATTCTCCCCCCAGGCGAGCATCAAGCAACTCGCTCTGAGTGAGTGCACCCAGTGGCTGTTGCTTGGGAAGGGTCTCTCTGGTCACAGTGAATTTTTTTGTAAAAGCAGTTTCACTCCAACCTCAATTTTTGTGATGGCCGATTTAAGAGAACAGCGTGCGACTGTGAAATTTTGTTTCCAGCTCTGGGACAATGCCTCAGAAACTGTTGTGATGTTGAACACAGCTTACAAGGAGAGTGCTATGGGCAAAACGCAAGTGTACGAGTAGTTTTCTCATTTCAAAAAAGGTGAAGCGTCAATTGATGGCAAACCTCATTCTGGCCATCCAAGCTTTCTGTTTAGAGCAGTGGTAACCTGTGAGTCATGACCCCTTTGGGGATCAAACGACCTTTTCACAGGGGTTGCCTGATTCATAACAGTAGCAGAATTACAGTGATGAAGTAGCAACGAAAATTATTTTATGGTTGGAGGGTCACCACAACATGAGGAACTGTATTAAAGGGTCACTGCTTTAGGAAGGTTGAGGACTACTGACTTAGAGGTTCTGAAAAGACAGCATACAGTGTGTGACAAAAACGGCCTCATTTGGGACAGGCAGAGTACTGGCTTTGCCACCACAATAATGCACCTGCTCACAGATCACAGAGCCATCTCAGTGTGCCAGTTCTTGGTAAAAAACAGCATGCCTCTCTTGCCCCATGCACCTTACTCACCTGACCGCACTTCATGCAAACTTCTTTTTGTTTCCACGAACAAAGAGAGACATGAAAGCACAGCTATTTGAAAGCATAGAAAAGGTGTGGGGAGAGAAAAAAACAAAACATCAAAGAAGGCGCTGGCAGCCATCCAAACAGATGAATTTGAAAAATGTTTCCAAGAATGGAATTTCAGATTGCACAAATGTAACAGAGAGTACTTTGAAGGTGAGAAGGTTGTTAAAAAAAATTAAATACATAGCTGTGAAAAAGAAAAAATTCCGGTTTGGGGAGGGAACCCCTCAGATGTATGCAAATGTGTGTTTGCCATCTATCCTTAAACCTCATTGAACCCGACCCTTTATTTTTCATCTACAAGTATAATTCTAGGGTCGTGTGAGTTCAAGAATTTAACCAGGAGCAGAACCTTGCCCTGTGCATCTTAGGGGGAAGGAACGGGCGTGGAAGAGTTGTTAAACTCTCATACTACATAAAACCTTTGGGTGTCTCTTTCTAACATACCACCTAAGTGCTTTCTCCAGAAAAGATCCCTTAATCCATAGTACCTTGGAAAATCATTGTTGTTAATGCTGTTGATGAATACCAGATTTCTGGCTACGTTTTCTGGAAGCCATTTACTCACCAATTATTTATTCATCAACTACAATGATTTCCGCACTGTGCTAGGCCTTGGCATAGGGATCAGAATAGACATGGCAATGACAGTAGTGATGTCAGATATATTTGCCCTCACACAGGTTACAGTGTATCTGAGAGGCACAATTACAATCAGTCGAAACTAGTCTATCGATTGAGGCATCTTCCCGTAAGATATAAGGGACTAGTCAACTAAAGAACAATCGGTAGTAAAGCCATGAGGGTGTAATCGAAGATTAAGAAACGATAAAGACCTGATAGGGGTAAAAAGGCCTTCATAACCACTGCCTTTCTTTGAATTCTCAGTCTCAGCTTCCTTCTACCATGCATCGAACACTCAGCGTGCATCGCTCCCTATTCTGTAAATGAGGCAAATAATTGAACACTGCTGTTTCTTGGCAAATGCTCTGTCTTAGCAGGGAATTTATCTCCCTTACTCTCCTGAATATTTTTCCCCTGTTGAGAATTCTCATCTTTCTTTCTCGCCGCGCCCCCTTTGCCTTATTTGAGGTCCAAGTCCAATTCTATTACTTCCATGAAACTATCCCAAGTCTTCCCACCAGCAATCCACTACTTCACCTTTAGGAGTACACAGTTTGTCTCCATTTGATCTTTCCATGTTCTCATGTGGCTTGTAGCTGATACAATTATAGACTATGGAGTTTGCCTTTTAATTTATGTAATGAACACATCACTGTTGCACTTGGGCTGCAGTGGGAATGTCAACTGAAACGTCAGCAAAGGAGGGCGGTCTGTCCTCAGTGCCCATGATAGAGGAGGTTTTTTTTAGCTTCCATCCAGGCTTAGCAGTGGGCACATGTATGCTGCCATGTGTCGTTATATGAATAAAATTAACACATAACAACGACGGCAAGGAACCACATGAATGTTCTTGGGGCAACAACGGGGATGTGCCATTTACTTTTGGTAATTCTCTAAAGCAATGGTAAAGTGGCAGCAGTTAACAGGCCAGGAAGTAAACTCTATATACCTGTTTTAAGTTTGCCATCACCCTCACAACCGGTTGGTGAAGCGATTACATCATCTCACTTATACATAAGAAAGTAGAGAGAATGGTTGACATTTTAAAAGTAGCCAGAATGGCTCTGGGTGTTTAGTTGCCAATGACAGAATTCACCTAAAGAGGAAGGGGCTTATTCTAGGGTATCAGGCTGCTCACGAAATCTCTGGGAAGGCAAGACCCGGGTTTAGTTGCTAGCCAGCTGGAAATTATGTCCATAAACAGCACAGGCAAGAAGATACTGATTATTCTCTGGATATTTGAAGGCTAGGAATTCTACCACAAATGCTCCAGAAGAAACAGTTACCTTTGACACTTGATTTTTAAACAACCAGCAGGCAGTAGTGAGATGTTCCTCACTTCTATAGTGATGTCTTTCCCATGAGCATCTGCTTAGTGAAAAATCGGTCATATGCCCCTATCCTAAAATAATCTAAGAAGGTTTGAAAATTTTAATTTAGAGTATCACTACTGTAGTCCAGGAAGAAAAACTGAGAAAGATTTGAATTGGCTAAACTATAGCATTTGCAATAACTGGAGAATTTAAATAACCAAAATCATAGAGCTAGTAAGTAGCTAAGCCCTCTGATGCCAAGTCTTCCCAAGATAAAATGACTGCTACATTGTAGAAGAGATAACTCACTTTACCTTCAAATAGATCGTTCGCTTTACCTTTAGAACTTAATTAAAATATCCTCTGTGAGTAACTTTTGCTTTTGACCTAGAATTGCTGTAAGCATTATTGCTGGTTTGACTTGCTAGATATCTTCATTTTGGGACTGTAATGGTCTTATCAATGGGCACGAGTTCATTATTTTTCATACAGTTCTCATTAAAAAAAATATGCACTGGAGCATACAGCTTTCCAAACTGAGTTCAGGGCCATAGAGACCCTGGGGCTATGCAGTGATTGACAACATTTGTGAATTCATTTTCCCTATCGCTCACGTTACTTTATGAATGACTAAAATAAATAAAATCATTTAAAAAATCTGATCCCCATGTGAAAAGTAAAAAGA